AGCAGATGAGGAACACATATTTGAGCTCAGCGTCCCAAGGCGCGTATAAGCATAAACATCTCATTTCAATTGGCTGGGTTGACCAAATGACCTTTCCTGGTTAGATACTTGCTTGAAAACCCTCGAAATCGTTCCACAGTAAACCACCTCAGTAGAAGGACAATGATGTCGATTGATTTCGTTCTGGTATATGCCATTTTTGTGACCCTACTCGGAGTCGTTTGAAATTGCTGTGTCTGCTCGGCGACTTGCTGGTGTAGACTAAGTGTTTTTGATCTCGGATATATAACTGTCGTAAAACCCGTGATCGGGGTACACTTTCATTATATGTTGGTTTGGATCGTTCAGTTCCCGACGCCATTCCTGGTGATAGTGCATTCGACTGTAGCGTGTAATGACACCACCAAAAAAGTTGTGGATCCGAATCACGATCTGGAAGTCGTGATTCTTTATTTCTGAGCTAGATTCATAGTAAAGATTTCCCATGTAGGACAGCATGAATGCAGTCTCTCAGGTGCATGACGAGTGTTCAAAAGAACAGGTCGTGCCAAATTGTGAACACTTAAGGACGGGTATCAGAGCGGATTTTGGTACCAATGCTCACTTTCGGAAATTTCCTAATCGTCCCACACTGATCAGGTTGACCACAAATCAACTTTTAAGCAGCCCATTCCAGTTATTTATTTCAGACAGTATTGGCATATCATTTAATTCGAGTAAAACGTTTTTCAAATCAGGGGTGATAACAAAAGAGTGACAGTCGTACAGCATTTTTCCATATTCCTGACCCTTGCGTTCAGACCATCCTCCACGCCATACCGAGGTATATACGATCCCCTGTTGAAAATTTTCTCCACCTGTTTTTCACCCTGGAACTGCTCGCACTTTTTCATCGCACGAGACTACAGCACAGACCGAAAGAGTACTGCTGCGGTCTCAGCCCCACCTCTTGGACCTGTGAGCCAAATGTAATGAAGCCTATTCAGGGTGATAGGGAAGGTGTACATGAGCTACTAATCGTGTAGCGCAAGTTGGAGCGCGCGAGGTCACTCTGTCATCACTGTTTGAGGGAAACGTCTGAGGAGACCTGCACTTCCTCCATCTCTCACAAAAGCGCTATTCGCGATAACTAGAGGTGTATGCAAAGCTTCATGCACGAAAGTGAAGTTTTTGAGAAGAAACAACCTTTCGGAAGCCAAATTTGCGACCAGTTGGACTGAACGGCAGGACTAAAGGGAGGGCATGGAAGGAAGTTCTTCGTGGGGCTGTCAATGGAATGGTGGCAACTTACGCTAACAGGATGAAGTGATCAAGGGAAACCTGTACAACTAAAAAAAGAAAAGTTGAAAACAGGAAATATAATTATTGAAGGCTAATGAATGGGAACCATATTACACTTCCGTGTAGCCACTATGTGCTCCAAAGGAGAAAAGTCTCAAAGAACAAGCAGACCGCGGCGTGTAGATAGACGGCTTCCGAGCGTCCCAGGCACCTGTGGTTCTTTGAACACGTCGACTTCCCCATGATGTCAGGAGCAGGGGCTCGCCTTGATCACACACAGTAATCTACTAGTGAGGTTTGATGCCAGGGATTTCTGGGCAGCTCAGATGGCAAGAACTTTGCACAGGCTTGGAGGTTGGTGGGGTTATACAGAAATGTTGACTGTTGTTGTGATTTTCAAGGCTTCCTTTTGCTCAAAAAATTTTGAATAAGACTGGGATAGTTCTTGCGGATCTATTTCATGCATTCCGAAGAGAAGTCAAGATTGTCGTGATTTTAGGTGTGATAGACGCAAAAGCGTTCACTGGGTACGGATTCGATGTTTGATCTACTGAACTTTAGCTAGTCCTTCAATACAAAGTTGAGGCAACAGTTCCATCCAGAGCCGTTTATTTTAAATTTAGTCGCACCATTTGATAGCTGTGCTTTACCACGCTTCCCAGCCTTTGTCATTAGATGCCGCCTGGCGATTATCTGCCAACAAATGCTCCTGATCGCTGATACAGATGGATTGATTGTGTTCGAGTCTAGCGCTGCCGGGAGCGTCCTGAGCAATCCTTTCTAACACTTGGTTCACTAGAATTTGCAATGGTGGTTGTCGCAGGCCTCCTGGAAACTCTGACTTTGCAATGTAACCAGACAACCTTGACAAAACAAGCGAGTGATTATGTCATGAACAAATGAAAGCTTGAACATCGAGTGCTGATGAATCTCCTTGTTACCGTAATTTGTGACCACCCTGTGATTGGACGACTCATCGAAAGAATCTATTTTGAAGGTTAATACGGAGAGTAAGACAAAACCATCGGTAGATCAGAATGCAAAAGAAGGGTTGAATGTTTTTGTCACAAGTGAAAAGGACCAAAAAGGTTTCCTGATGTCCGAGAGCCAAGTGGGAGCGGTCTCGCCGCCAACATTTGTGACACATGTACGACAGATTCAAGACAGAACAGTCCACATAGTTTTTCGAATTGCTTATTGAAAAGAACCCAACTTTTTCGTTCTTCCCGTGGAGTATGATTATAGCTAACGATAAATGGATGACATCATAGTTACAGCGTAGGTAAATGGTCAATGTGCGCAGTTCTCATAAGGCTAATTTTTGAGCTTAACCCATTGTTCATACTGAATATTACTTGTGAATAATATTATTCATTTGAGCGGAGATGAGTGGCCACCACCGTGCGTATGGTCCGTGGATCAAATCTCAGGTAAAATCCCACATACGTCAACAAATTGCTACGGATGAATTTCGTTTCTAGGAGTGATAATTACCATACAAAACCCAATTATATCTTGTTTTTGAAAAGTCGTGGTCTACGATTTGGAGAACCGTGTTCAAGCAGCAATTCGAATGCTAGCGTTCTTGATACGGAAGAAGTTTCAGAACGCAAGTTATACCCAAAACAAATAAGACGCATTCCCACAACTTCAGCTCATCAGCTCGTTGTGAACATATTTCACCAAACAGAATTTCTCCAGTGCAAGAATCAGATGACATGGCTGCCACTAAATAATTCGCCGGATGAAAACAATCTTTCAAAGATTTTTCTGCTTGACGGAGACATTGAAAGCCTCTGAAGGCATCCCATGCTATGCTAAGACTTGCAACTTGTAAACAGTTTCAAAGTTGCAGTTACTGAAATACACATCGAGCTCCTTTGCAGGTGCGTTAGTAGTGGTGACGCTCCTAGGGCATAGAGATGAAACTGTCACGAAACTTTGAGTTGCAACGGAACTTCGAGTTAGCCCTGCAAATGGAAAGTGGGAATGGTTCCTTTGGTTGTTGTACGACCACATAATCTCGTTTTGTAACGAAACTAATAAAATAGAACACTAGCAAAGTGGCACAAAAATTACCTAACGGCAATATTGCAAAGCATCAACCAAAAACTGAACCCAAAAAAGTTGTTCCAGAGACAAAAAAGTATGATCGCTCAAAGTGTGAGTGGCTAAGCCAAACACATGCACACATGCGAAAGCACACAACCGTCATGCCCTGGCTTGATCGAGACCAATTGGCAATGTGAGCGTGAAAGGAGCTACATGAATAATTAAAGACAGCTATCAGTATAGTAGCAACAGTTAATCACCATGTCTTCACCTGACATCTAATCTTGCTCCGCTAATTCAGTTGAGAACACTGCCAGCTGTAGTAGAAAACGATTATATTTAGTTCAAAACTCAACATATGATTACGTGTTTTTTGTAGAGATCTACGAATGAGTGACACGAATTGGGAACAATTATGATTTCCAGGAAAGAAGTGGAGAGCAAAGAATGTATAGCATGCTCAATGGAAAGCGTCATATGAGATGCAACAATGAAACAGTGAACTCTTTTGAAAACCAAAAGGCAAAAAAAAACAATACTGTGGCATGTGACTAGAAAGCGCGAATTACATGAACAACCTATAAGAGATAAAAACAGAGGGCAAAGTTGAATCGGACGGCAATTATGACTTGGATAGCAAATGTGATCATCAGCTCCCACCAAATTCACCCTAGAAATATGTATACACAGATCATTATCAAAACCTCATTCAATGGGTGTAGCTTCATGACCAGTTAACAGGCAGACGTCGCTCTTCTCACAGCTGCATAGCGGATGCGATTTCAACACAATCACTCTATAATTTGTGTTTATACAATGAAACGATGCTAGTAAACGTGTCCACGATCAGTGATCACATAAATGCCTAGGAGAATAGCAACTGAGCTCAGAGGGTCACAGACATAAGAGATCAAGAATAACCTATGGCGGAACGAGAATAGAATGACTAACAGGGAACAATGACCATCATCCTCGCCATTTTCATAATTAATATTTTGATCAATTTTCCTTTTGAAAACTCAACGTACCTATCATTCCCAATGACACGGTAGATCTTTGACATGTCCGATATATCTTGCGTTACTGTGTTGTTGGTTAAGCACCTCCCCTGGAAACAACTTTGTGTGACTTCAGTAGGCGAAAAAAACTGTGGTAGCCTCTGCAATTTCTGTTCCTCACCTGAACGCCATGCGAGTGGAACGCTAATATCGAGTCCGGCATGCAGTGGACATATTCAATGAGAAAGTTGAACGTGAAAACAGCTAGCTTTGTTTTCTCACAGCCCTCTAAGTTAGTGATCACAACCTGAAAACAAGGTCAGAACGAGCTCCAAACTTATTTGTGTAGTGAGCTCTTCTTGTGTTTATTTAAAAAGAAGTTTTTCAAACTTTATCTGACCATATTCCGTTCCTTTTGATTTACAGAAGGTACGCATACATACCGAAAACCTAAATACATAAGCAACTGGCAAGTGTGCGCCTGCACAAACATCATTTTCTTTCGAACACGTGAATAATTCTGCAGATATTTCTGCGGACCGATGAATCTGCATGGACCCAAATTTCTGCTGAATAGAGGGCTATTGCGTTCTGCAGATGATTCACTTTGTAAAACTGCCACCGCCCTTTAATTTTTGTTTTGTTTGATCATCTGCGGCTTTTCGCCGCTTCTCGTTGGAAGATTCGATATGTTGATCATCACAACTGCCCGGGAAGCATGAGTTCCACGTTCAACTACCACTCAAGACTTCGATTACTGCTAATGTATTGACATAGGAGATCTGTGAAGATTAAGTGGGCGAGCCTAAAAGCTAAAAGAGCTCACCATTGATTTAACGGAGGAAGTCGTGATAATAAATGAACAAATAAGCAAACAAATAAAAAGAAATGCTACATATATGCATACTTTGAAAGCTTGACGAAAACAGTGGAATTAAGCAGTTACCGAAATGATGGAAAATTTTCAAAACGATCTAATAGTAATAATCAGTAATAGCAAGCAGCAATAATCATCCACCAACCTTATTGCGGTGAGCGAACAAGACGGAATCCTTCCCAATTTGACACATTGACACGACATCAAGTTTAGTACCACAACACTGAGTGACATCTGGAGTCAGGTTTACGACCTGGAACTGGAAGGACTAGATTCTTCTTCCTCTTCAGAAATTAAAGGGTCTCCAAGAAAGAAGCAAATCTAAGTAAAAACATGAAAAGGGATACTACAGAGTTGGCCGAGTATAGACATTACACTTTCACTAAGAAACACTACACACTAGGGGTAGCAAGTTGTTTTGCCAACAAATCCAACAGGCGGCAAAGAGCCTAGAGGCTTCATAGCCACAGTCATAGAAGGCGCTACGCCTCTAGACCACAGAGATCTACACCTCCAGACCACAGAGATACTGAAAATCGGGAATGCTCAAACGCAATTCTTGAGCGTTCCAATTTCTCAAACCAAGACAAACTAATTCGGAGGACAACTTGCCCGCAGCGTCACATTGAACTCGATTCTTTCATTCCCCATCTTTAAAGAGCGGCAATGGTTTACCGCTGTGTGCCATATTCTTCACTGCTATGGGAGCCTTCACATCGCGTCTCGATGTGGTAGTGACTAACCAGCGTATCGAGAAATCAACTAAAAGGGTGTGCCTACCCTTACATTCCTCTCGCAGCCTCACAACCTTTGAAGACATTTTCTCGAAATCAATATCAAAGATCTATCTCTCTGTTATTCGAATCTTGTTTTCCCTTTAACTCCATTTTTAATCGTGCATTTTGTAATACTGAGTTCATGTGATAGACACATGTTGTGAGTGTCCCATCGTTTGATATAATAATTATTCCTTGTTGATCACATTTTAAAAATATCAGTGATTTTGGAAGCGTAAAGTTTGCATCTAGCCAACTTTTAAAGTGGCTACTAAACTACCACAAAAAAGAACAATGTAACGGGACCTGAATGAATACAATAGTTCCAGAACTGACCCACCTTTCTATCCTCGAATTTAATCCAGTTAAATTCATACTTATCGATTGAGTCAGTTTTTTGAACACCAATACATAGCTGTGGAAAATCAGTGCGTGTATTAATCAGCTGAAGGAAACATGACTTCAATTCAAAGTGTAATTTATTATGGATACAGCCCAGAAGAACATACTTTGAAAGGACTGAGTGGGAAACGCGTTGCAGTATCAAGCTCTGTCGATCTCACCAACAAAAACTTATTTAACGGCTCGTACCTATTCATAAATAAATCAATCTCCGACACAGACAAGTTACATAATTGTTTGAAGCTTTCTACACTCACCACTGGAATAACAAAACTGCAGAAGGGATGCAACAACACAGAAATACAGCTCCAGCCTGAGGACCGTCACCATGCGATGTTGTGCATTGAAGGGCACCTCTGAATAGCGATAGCGCATGAGTGACGTCATAACTTCATGAAACAAGAATAGAAATTACTTGGTCTCAGGCAGTCGAACACTGATGGCAAGCTTTTTAGGAATATATTTCTCCGGTACTCTATTGATGGGCTTACTTATACGTAAGGTCAGATTTTTCTGTGAGAGCGCAACCAAATCATGCCTATAAATGATGATTAGTACAAATAACTGATAAGCTTGAAACTAATGAACTTCAGAAATTTGTTTCATTCATTACAGTAGCTCACCTATATAGATAAGAGTTCCGGCCTTGCATGGCCATCAAAACATCCCGATGTACATAAAGCCACGAACAACGGCGATGATGAAACTGAAATTCAGTTGTTAAGATAAGACTGAGAACGACAAATAGGAATCAAAACCTTCGATAATTCTCCATCATGTAATTTGTTCGTATCCACGGCATAAATACCTTCTTCGCAACCGAGAAGGAGAAACTGAGCACCGCTGCCTGGATGAACCCAAGAACAAGCACAATTGATTCGCAGACTACACTCATGGACCATCTTGGTAAAGCAAGCACCCATAACAACCTAGAAAGTATATAAAACTGTTTTTTTTTCTTCCGTGATAAGTAAAGTTCTTCTTTTTGCCTTCACAAGAACCACAACTTTTGTTCGAAGGTTAAGCGATTATAAACAAATTTTTACTATTTCTGTGAGGTAGACCTCCAGATGCTCGCGCTGATACTGTTCACAGCCTGAAAGCTTCACAAGATCGCCTTCCCGTTGTTACAACCCATCATCTCGGTTCCACATGAAAGCTCTACCCGGCTTCCGAAGATCTAGCATATTCTCAGGGGCACAATGCCTAGTGCGGATAATTGCAGGCTTGGGCGCTATTGTCCAGCTTGTTACTCTTCGTACAGTTTCAGCACGAAGCAAAATTTCATTCCCCATAACTCCAATCCAGCTGTAGTGCTGGCGGTCTGCAGTTGAACTCTTTGCTCTGTAAGACCTCGGTCAGACTCGGCGATTGCGTCGCTGTACACCAGCGACGGAGTTGCCCGGCACAAGAGTGGCAGCAACGGGCGATGACTCAGCACACGATCGATATCGGTTGGCAGGGGGAGATTAATCATCCTCACCCATCGTTCATGTTGTTCTGCTCGGTTTTTTTTTCAAATTCTTAATCAGGAAACGGGAGTAATTTTTGAACTGCTGATCTTTCAGGAACGCTTGGGTGCTCGTTAGAAAGCTTGAAACCTGTAGTTTATTATACCGTGTTCAGCTTCCCAAATGAATGACTTTGAAGGAAGTTATGATCGTTTGAAGGTAAAAAAGTCGCGGTTCCAAAAAAATAGTAACGCAAACCCCCAAAAAAGTAACAACGGGACTAATTTTTGAACTACTGATCTTTCAGGAACGCTTGGGTGCTCGTTAGAAAGCTTGAATCCTGTAGTTTATTATACGTGTTCAGCTTCCCAAATGAATGACTTTGAAGGAAGTTATGATCGTTTAACACATTGACGACAACGCGGGGGATATATATCCCGCGCATTGCAGGCCATGTCGGACCGTGCGGGATATATCCCCCGCACCCATTACACTAATTTTTTTCGCGCACGCCTGGTTCTTCTAGAAGTTTCTTGTAATTATTGAATGGAGGAGACCTTGACCTAGCTAAAAACATAGTGGTCCATAGAATGGTCACGTATGCTTCAATTTGGAGGAGGATTTCTGAACCATACGAAATCTTCAGCCTAATAAATTTTTCGTTTACTTTTTCTTCCTATGAATGTGAAGGTTTAAATAGTAGTAGAAGTAGATACGGTACCTTAGAGATGACAATATATGTGTTTTGATTAAAATAATCAACTCAAAATTGCCTTTGAAGTTCATTGCAGCTTGTTCTAAAGAATATCACTTTTTCATTGTTATTCCATGTCTTTCAATAGAAATTCCGCTACTGTACCTCCGAGTAGGTTGTGCTCATTACAATATATTGATCTGGCCTTGTATTGATCATTATTTATGTTTTTATCACTCAAAATTTGCTTGAACAACCTGAGGCGGCGGCGCTCGCAAAAACGCCGTGGTCCCACGTGGCCAAAAGTGCCAAAACTCGCGTTGTCGTCAACGTGTTAAAGGTCAAAAAGTCGCATTTGCACAGAAAAAAGTAACAACGTACTAAATTTTTATTAAATTAACTTTCGAAGAATTTTTACCCATGGTTGGAGAGAGAATAATTTGAATTTTCCAAATCAAATCACTTCGGCGCAGAAGCTCGAATATGAAGGAAGTTATAGCCCTAGAAAGAGGAGTGTAAAAATTGTGTTGCAATTTTATTTTTTGCCTAATAACTTATTCATTCCGAAGTGTTTGAGAACAAATGAGCACTCGTTAGGAAGGAGGAGCCACGTCGATCCAAAATCCACCTGAATCTTCCGAACTACCTGAAATGTAAAAAAGAAAAACTCCTCGAATTTTCACACTCCCCGTTCGACGCCTCTTCACCGTGAGCAAATGCGCTCCACCGTCAGGAGGCCAAGGGACTTACGTAGCAATAAATATTGATGGCAACACTGTCTCTACACAAGTGTTACATACAAGGGGGGGGTCGTATCAAATCACCCATGAAGGGGGGGGGTCGTAAAAAATTTCCGAAGAGTAACAACGATAGGGTTGACCCTGGTACTTAGGACAGAACGCGACTTTTTCGCTCTTCGCAACGCGACATCGCGCGGCAGGCTGGCGCACCCGCAGCGAAAACAACTACGGTATGGAAGAACGCGCGATTGGAGCAGCTTTTTTGCATGCGTGAATTTGTAAGTTTCTGATTCCTTACTTGCCCGCGCTCACACCCATTGTATTGATACATGCGGTGAATCACTAATTCTGTCTCATTATTGAGATCGCAACAGACTAAGCCTTTGAGTAGTGTAGGGCTCCAAAGTGGGTAGGCCATTCCCCTGTGGTCTGACACACTCCAACTTTTGCCACACGGTGCGTGGTTTACCCACTCCGGAGTTTCACTCCCCTCCCCTAAGCTTAGTCGTAGGCGCTGTAGGTGAGAAAGCTTAGAAAAGCAGAAAGTATGCGTTAAACAGCACGAATGTGAAAAATGAGTGTCATATTCATGATCAGGGCCCCAAATAACCCCTATGCAGAAGTTTACAGTCGTCTCATCAAACGTCCATCAACCATTCCTCTTCCAGGTTCTCCAGAAGCTCTACCATCCATCTCTGCAAAAATAACCTACCTCCCTCTTCACTGCTAGTTAGCGGTCCACTTCTGGTTACCATTTCCTCGTTCATTATCAAATCCATGGCTATTAAGCTTCAAACTCCTTGTCGCAATCAAAGCCGACACAAATATCGCGCTCCAATCGCGCGTTCTTATATACCGTAGTTGTTTTCGCTGCGGGTGCGCCAGCCTGCCGCGCGATGTCGCGTTGCGAAGAGCGAAAAAGTCGCGTTCTGTCCTAAGTACCCACACCCCATATGTACCATATGTGTCGCACCGCACGAGCTACTGCACTGTCACTTTCCACATGGGGAACATCCATCTTCACTTGTAAGTGAAGGGAACGAAGTGCGACACCTCGATGCCAGAGGATCTCTCTAGCACGCAGACTAGAAAGCTAGTCGCCTGCAACGTCATGAGGTCACTCCCTTTTCGATTGTCGAGAAGACCGATCTACTTTACCTTCCGAAGCTACACAAAACTTCAGATCTGATCAGCAATCAGACGATGATCGGTAATTTCTCTCACATGGCCACTTTAGGCTGGTATCAGAGTCCGCGAACCATCGCAGGTTTCGCTGATTTGCGCGATTCACGCGATTCACGCGACGGGTCACGGAAATCACAAGTGCCCGATCAATACTGCAAGGTGTTCTCCAATCCTGCCGCCACTTCTGCTTGATAGTGATGGCTGAATGACGACTGCTCATGATTCCACTTGTTTCATATTCAGTGTTTCAAATGTTCAAATGGGGCACTTGCAATTTTTGCGATCCGTCGCAGGTTTCGCGCATCGCAAAAATCGCGTGAATCGCGCAATCGCGAAAATCAGCGAAACCCAAGACGGATCGTGGACTCTGACACCAGTCTTAGGCTCACGGCCCTGTGAGATAACTCATATAACTATGGGTACACCTAGTGAAGAAATACCTGCATGTACTGAAATTACCTACGAGCGGTCCATTCTCACCCCGAAAGAAAACCTTCATGTAATATAAACTTGAAAGTTCAGTATGACAAAACTAATTACCTCAGATATATGTAGCACACATCATGCAACAAACATCGCGGCAATATGGATGATCACATTACGTACACAAATTGAAAAATACTGTTGCTAAAAGGGGAACGCTTTTCCAAAATGAGAAGCGAACGTGTTGCTGGTAACTAGTGGTTTCAGAGCGTTACAATGGTTAGGCTTGGAGACTTACTGTGATGCAAGTAGCTCGCTGGTCATCGCGAAAACGCCTCGCTTCCTTTGCCACCTGGCTCCGGTGGTTATACACTTAACTGGTACACACCCACTTTATCGTACCCACTGCTGCGTAATTTCTTTCGACACGCTCTCGTAGTGTACTTTAAATTATCGAATTAGTAATGGAGCGCTCACCTTTGGCGTAACCGGCATTCCAAAATAAGTTTTTGGCCGCTCAACATCTTCGATAGCACCAGGCCGTAAACGGATTGAATCATTGTTTTCAAGCGATGACGAGCGAACCATTGCATTCCTTGTTGCTCGCAGCGTTCGAGGAGGTGCTCGTGGTGCTGCGAAAATAGAATCAAAATTTATCATACCTGACGACACGTAATAGCTAAAGTTCATCCCCTATAATGGCGATTAATTGAAGGGATACTGATTACGAAGAAATTTCAGAATACGGAATCCCACCTAAAAGTGTTCCACAATCGTCTTCAATGACACCATTTCCATCGTGTAGTAATGCATCACCAGATACTACGTCAGGTAGTGGAGGCAAATCCTTCAAAAAAATTGTGACCAAAAGTGAAGGGTGAGAAATTCAACAACGTTGTGAAAAAACTCCTTGCGCATAGGAATCAAAAAAAGCTTCACCGACAGGTCATTATTAAGTTGTGGCGTAACAGTTGACCTTTAAAAGTCCTTGTATACAAGGTTCTGAACAGTAAAAGAAGACTGCGCTAGATGAAAATAAGCAAAGGCACGTAAGGAGCAAACAAGTTGTGCTCCTAAAAGAATTGTGAACCTGGAAGTTGCAAGACTACTGGCAACGAGTTTTGGCAAGGTGTTTAAAACATCAAAATAACATAATAAATAATAATAATATCATAAATACATAATAATAACATCATAAATAAATTAGATAGATCGAAATTACCCGCCGTTGCTTGAATGATTTTTTGATGCTAGTTTGATGGTTGATTTTGCTTGATTGTCAGAGAGGAAAGACGAGATGAGTGGACCCGAAAGGCGTCCCCCAAAACGTAGAGCACTGCAGATGACCAACTAAGGTCATCGGTCGATAGTACAGGAAGTGATCGCGCGCGTGAAGACTGGTACTTAAGCACGAGGGGATCAGTAGTCTATCTGTTCTTTTTTGCTCGGTTAGGGCCTACGTGGCCACGTCGTGTTTTGTTTGCCTTTGTGGCTCATAGTGAATTGCGCCTCGTGGCTCCGTAGTGGACGGTGCCTTAGTGGCTGAAAATAGTTGCAACCCCAGGCCTTGCTCTCATCGCGGCCTACTCTTTTGAAGACCGCGGCTCAAGCAGGGAGGCCCGGTCATAAGGTTCAGGTTTAGTTTTGTCCGTTGGAACTCGGTGCCTTGCGTTGTGGGATTCGACCTTTGCGGATCAACTGCTCATCTCCTCTTGCCCCAAATTGATCTTCTGTTGCATATTCGCAAATTGATTTTTTTGTTTCGTTCTGTTCGTTTTTTTAAAA